CCCCAAAACCCCAAAACCCCAAAACCCCAAAACCCCATTTAAGCTAAATATATTTGAAATAAAAATATGAGTATTTCAACAAACCAGAAATTATTTACTATTGACATGTATCATGAATTAAGAAGGCTCGAGATGCAACTAATAGGTTTGTAAATATGATCTTGAGATAGCAGTAATAAAGTCTTTTAGGTTACACTTCTACTTCATCTGAAACCTATTAAATTATTCTCTGCCTATGTTAACCCTCCATTAATGTTTAATACTTAGGAAGAAGGTTTATGGATTAATAATTTATATTAAGGAGTTTTAAGGATCTTCAAATTATTTTCTTCCAAAGTAATGTCTTGTCTCTCAGGAGTTTGGTCATTTTTGTAAAATTCAACCCCGCTATTGTAGAAGTCGTACTTCAGCTCAACAGGGTTCTCCTCAATCTGCTTGTTTTCATCCTCAGGTTTAGAAGAGGCCTCTGAGGATCAAAATCCTTTAATCACATTTGGCTTATATTTTGTCTTCTTCAAATCACTTGCAGAGGATGGTCGGATAAATGCAGAATGATTGCTCACCTTCTCAGTTTCATTCTCAAAGTCTATAATTTAGGTTAAAAGGCAACAGTCTGAAACATACTTAAGGCTTGGTACAATTTATCATTATTGCTAGTGAATGACTTATGTCGTTTGTTTGTGGCAACAGTGCAATCATGCCCGAATTCAGACTTTAACTTCTTGTGGTTCTTTTTCTGTTGAGAATCAGCACAAGTCACATTTGCTCCTGTAAAATGTCCTGTTTTTAATGTTGTCTGTCTGTAGAGCTTCTGCTCTTGTGCTAACTCAACATTGGTGTTTACTTCTTGACGAGTATCTTCTTTTACGTTTGCTCACATCTTATTACTCAAATTCAGATAAAGATTAGCCTGGTCGACCACATTATTACTCTTGTTATGTTTATCAAGATCATTCTTTGCCTCATTGTCTGGCTGACTAAAGAGCTGGTCCTGATCGAAAATTTCAAAGCTCTGGAACAACTGGGAGCAATCTTCTCCAAGAGCAAAGTCTAATCCATGGCTCAATATATCTTCCTCCTCCAAGTCCATCAATTTGACTTCTGGTGGCTCCTTAAAATAGTTCTGTGGATTGACAGAGACTAAAACAATAAAATGATGAATTACTTTGCTTATGGATTCTGCTCTTCTTTCTTCTCTTTTTCTGAGGGGTAGGAAAAATCATGCCATTATCATCGTCATTAAGAGAGAAAGGCATTCTTCTCAAATCCTCGAATTTCTTATTTTCTTTGCTCTTTATCGAGTTCTTTATCTAGCTCTTCTCCAAAAGTGCCAAGATCCCTTTTGTTATTCTTAAAGGAAGGCCTTTGTTCTACTTTTTGCCCGGCTATGGGTGTTCTTGCGTCTATAAAAATTATGGCACCACTTCTTAATTGGTGAGGGTTACCTTGACTATCCTCTTGCTCTTTAGCATTCTCTATTTCTTTGTTCATAATATCTTCCACCTTTTTGCGATCAACCTTTTGGCTGTTTCTCACCTACAAAGAGAAATTAGGTTTATTCAGAATAGAAAGAATTTTAAGATCTCAGGAATGTTCTCTAGTGGTATTTATGCAAGATGTTTGATGTAGTAAGATAGAGATGTATTCTTTAGTCACTTTCCAGACACTCCATATTGATTCATTACCAGAAAATCCAGAATTTTCATCGAATACATATAATTTTGGTTAAAAAGTAACTCCACGCTCAATCTTTCTATTTGAAAATATTTCAATTTGGTCAGATAATTATGGACTATGACGAAATTTTTCAAATTGATGAGGTGGAATACAGAATTATATCCATAATTGGTTTCTAATAACCTTCTCAAGGGAAATCGTAAAAGCTCAAATTATTCTAGAGAGTGTCTGCATGGCTTTGAGATTATTCAACTAGTTAGAACAGGTCAATTGTGGCGAATCCTGAGTGTTATAGAAATCATCATCAAAATTTCAAGAACATTATGTGTAAAAGCTGAATTTTAATGCGACCTACTTGCACTGGAGTGAAAACAGAAATATTTTTGTTTGAACCTGAGATGTCTTTACCCTCCTCACTCTTAATGTCAAAGAATGTAGGCAATCTTTTGATTTCTTTTGGCGGATTTCTGGCATATTTTTGTTCATATTCCTTCTTTAGAGACATAATCTCTTCCTTCGTTACTTTGACTTTATTTGACCGATCTATGATTTCTTCAATAGATGGTAGGATAGCATTTTCACTTCCTGGTTCAGACTCCTTGCTGTCTTTGGTGAAATCTATGATTTCGTTGACTCCTTCAAGGCCTTCTGACAGTAATCTTTTCTCTAAAATCTCTAGGATACCCAAGGGAAATTTGAACATATAGATAAGTCCTTCTCACAGCAGATAATCCCAAAATCTGATTGTCAGCGTGAATGGAAATCAGGTGAAGATGGTCATGTACCACTTTTGTAAATAAATTTCAGAACTAAAGAATAACTCATCAAAGTGAGCCTTAAGATTTGGGATGTGTTGTTCAAATAAAGTGTTGAATTGGAATGCAAACTGGCAATAGAGTGGGAAATTGTCACAATAAAATTCACTGACTCCTCCCTCGAAATTATTTGATATTTCCATAATTGTTGTTTTGGTTTGAAATTGCTATGAATTGCCAGAAAGCTTCTTCATCTCTTCCTCCGTTAACGATCAGAATAAATCCCATCACGAAGTTTATACTCTGGGTGTACCCTACTTCAGGGTTGTACATGGCATATGCTCTCAAGGCTCTCCGAAGAACTCTCTGGCCTATCCTTGCATAATGTTGGGAGTAAAAGGGGTGGGAAGGATAAGTTCTATTCAAATCAAGGTTTATTTGGTTTAATACAGGATGCTCTTCGTCGTTAAATTCATCAGCTTTATTTAAAAGTTCTTGGTAAGCACCTGGGACTTCGTAATTAACAGCTCCTGTCAGTACTTTCCATGCTAACCATCTATATTCAGGAGGCGGTCCTTTGCAAACTCTTCTTCGAAATAGCTGAGGGTGTTCTTTGTAAAATTCATACAAGTTTTTGCATATTTTATTATAATCGGTCTGACCTCTCTCTGTCGAGACGTTAGCCATTTTATCCCATTTCTTCTTTCTCTTAAAATATTTCTTGGTAGCCTTAGATTTATTCTGATTTGTAAATAATTCTTTTAGCATAAACTCAGGACCAATGTTCAAATCTTTGTAATCTATACCTTGTCCATTGGCATCAAGGGTGTCGCCAATGAGATTATTTAGCATGTTTTTGATCTGTCTTAATGAATTTAGCAGGGTTTCTCATGACTTCTTTAATCTTCAAGTTCCTCTTTGGATTGCAACAACTAGACCCCATTTTGAATAACTTTATAGAGATTTATCAATTTCTAATAAAAGGTATGGGGTTTTGGGGTTTTGGGGTTTTGGGGTTTTGGGG